ATATGGTGTTTTTAAATGGCAATATATCAGCATATGAAGATATTGTGATATTTTAATGTATCAATATTTTTCCCTCGTCTTTAGAAGTTTTTAAGTCTGTAAAGAAGAATTTTTTGAGGAAGAATTTTTTTTTTTTTTTAGACTTTAGAAACTCAGAAGCTGATCAAATATCGGGTTAAATATCGGTGGGGTGGCCGATATTCAGTTTTAAGGCGGATACAGGCCGATATCGATAGGGGGCCGATTATATTGTGCATCCCTACATGAGAACACACAAGTACACATATTGAGAAACGTCGGTGGTCACAGTCACCTTGCCATAGGCTCCTTTCCCCAGCACCCTAAGGAGCTCGAAGCAATCGGGTCCGACTCTCTCGCTGTCTCTGTTGACGCTCTCACTGGTGAGCTCCACCTCCTCGGTTTGAGCGCTGCCATGACAACAGAGCAGAAGAAACCCTTTGGTTGGATCATCAGCACCCGCTTCCCCCTGAACTTAAACCTCCTGAACTTACCTGTCGGGTTCCACGACAGTCAGCTCACAGGCATCATCCTGCAGACAGAAGAAGGAAGTTAAAGTGATTCCATCAAAACGTTTCCGAGCCGTTAGAGATGCTAATGAAAGGCTGACCTCTGTGTCGCTGATGTCCTCAGTCTCCAGATCAATGTCAAACACTCCCGCCATCCTAAAAACATAACACACATGTATGTCATTTCTATACTTCAGGTAACTTTTATTTTGTTGTATCTGTGTTATGCTTCAGCATGTATTTATCATTTGAGGCCCAGCCTGCGTCATTCGTCACAGTGCAACCTCACAGGCCAGATGCATGATGGGAACAACAGAAAAACTCATCACTGGAACATTTCTATGGGTCTTTTACTCAGAGCGCCGCCTGGACTGTTTAAAGTAAGCAGCTTGATGGGAAACATGTCAGATTCAGAGAAAAAAGCTTTCATCTTCCCAGATCCAGAAAAATAATGAATGTAGGAGGACCGTTAGTGGGCAGCTTAAAAGCTTGATACGCTCTCAGAGGCAAAGGTGTATTTTGATGATAAAAGAAAATAATCCTACTCTGTGCTTTGCATTACTTGTTATTTTGTACAGTTATTATAGATGCTTATTTTACATTACTGAAGTAAGAAATAATGGAGTTCAATCTGTACTTCTGTCTTTTGTAGGACTTGAGGCTTTTATTTTGAAACAGGACAGTATTTTGAAAAAGAGGAGGAGGACGGCCTGCAGGAAAAGGTCCATCTGGATCGGCTCAGGAACTGGTGACTGAGGCGTCTGTATATTGGTCAGATGTTGGAAGAACATCTGTACTTCTAACATGACAAACTATAGCGGCTCTATATAACAGAACATCATTTAAAAAAGTAAGAAAAGACAAACACACATCAATTATTATTAATATTGATTTAAAAACTGAACATTAAACCAACAGAATAATAAGCAGTTTAGCTGGATCTACAAATTAAGATCCTTTGACTTGAATAAAATGTAAAACTTCCTCTTTCTCTGAATTAATCTAAACCAAAAAAAACACTGGCTTAAAAATTGCACAATATATATATTTTTTTCATATATTGTAAATTTACCTGATTTCTATTCTAAACCAAGTGATTCCATTTCTTTTTTATGATTTCCAGAAATCTTTTTCACATCAGCTGAATCCAAATTGGGAAGTTTGATTATTTAAACTCCTATAATAACCTTTAAATCTCAGAGTTAAAGTCAAACTTCAATTATACAATAACTTTATTAGGGTTGTGAGATTTCTTCTTTATACTGAACAGTTGTTTTTTAACCTTGAATTAATAACTAAACTAACCGTTGCCTGCAGAAGCCTATGATGAAATGGCTATTAACTTATTTTAAAGCTTAAAACTAAATCTGATTTGTAGGCGACGACTTCTTTAAAATCACTGTTAAATTACCTTGGAGTGACTTTTAGTCCTACAACAATGAATGAACCTGGATAGGAACTATTTAGCAACGTCAGCCACAAGTAGAAGTACAGAAGGTAAACGCATCAGCTAGGCGTTGTTTTATTGTTATCATTTATGACACAAATGCGCAGAGCGTCAGATTTCTGACATTAACGTCAAGAGCAAGCAAACAACAACAGCCAAGCAGGACAATTCGACCAATCACATTCCTCCAACATCTACATTACTCAGCCTCATATCTAGAAATGTCAGGATTATTTTAATTGATGATGAGTGGGTCTGTTAAGCCCTAATATCAGCTGCCTGTTGCGTGTCAGAAGTGATGTTTCCCCACATAGTTTATCCAATTAGAACGGTTCCTCTGTCTGGATAAAAAGTCATCTTCATTCTACATGTCAAAAATATTTGGAAATGGAATGAGAGCAGCGTCCTTCAGCTTATTTACAAACATGTATGATGTAATGATGTGATAAACTGGAGATGCATAAAATGCTTGTTTAACTCTAATCCGAGGCCACTTCAAGAGACGCGAGCCAGGTTTGTGAGCAGCTGCCTTCTGTAACTCTAAGCAGCTTCCCTGATCTGAGTAAGATTACAATTTCTGTCTACATCTGTCGTCATTAGGGGTGTGGAAAAGAAATTGTTGTGCAATATGTCGTGATTTTTGGCTGCCTGATATAATATCAATCTTTCCATTCCTGGTATCGATGTTTTTAAGCAAAACAGCAAAACAAACCCCAAGCAACATGGATACCACAATAACTGAGCCATCAATGTCATCTGATAAACATATAAAGAGGTTGCTTTTTTTTAATCTATAAAAGTCCTGAATCGATTCGATTTTGATTCATACAGTTCTAAATCTGTTCAATCTGTTTTTACAATAATGAAAGTGGTTCAACTGTGTTTCAAAGTACTCATGTATTTTATTTTTTTCCTGTCACATTAAACACAAAGTGCAAACTTGTAAATCAGACAGTTTAAACTTGAGGTGTGAACAAAACTGTTTTGTTTGTGAAAAGTAAAGCCTCACTCGAGCAAGCAGACGTGTCAAAGCAGACATGCATGAGTTGCATTATCTTCACTGCACAAACCCTATTTGCAGCATTGTCTGTAGCAATTACAGAGTTTTTTTTTTGCTGGTCAGCCCTCATTTGTTAATGTCTTCAGTCAAACTATTGGCTATATTTGCAGCTGTCTGGCTTTAAATAATCTTGAGTGCATCTTTCCTGCTCATTTTAATGTGAACGTCACACGCGTCACTATAAAACTAACCGATCTCATTCCCTAGGCATCGATTTGGCAAAAATGTAAAGGAATCGATTCAAAATCAATTAAATCAATTTTTTTACCCAGCCCTAATCGTGACCCAAGTATCGTGTCATGTATCGTATCATAACACCCATGCCAATACTCCCACCTAGCTGCCATGTCTCCTGGTTATTTAATAGATATACATCATAAGAGTCAAGAGTTTATCCTTAGTGATCTTTTCTCAGGAAATGAAGCAGAGAGAGAACGCTTAAAGGTGTAAACACAGAGCTTTCCTTTACACATGGTAGAACACACCAAACAGAGAAAATGGCTAATAGCTGTTCTCTAACACAGAAGTTCAGAGCTGTGGTTCAGGTGGAGGTCAGGAACACATTGTTAAAAACAAAACAAAAAATCTGCAGCAGAGCAAATAAAGGAAACTGCAGCCAGCAGCAGCATGAAGTGAATGAGAACAGAACCTGAGGGGGAGAACAGAGGGGATCTGATCCAGAGGTG